GCAAATCACTTATCTCTGCCTCAGTTTCCTCATCTGTAAAATAAACTAGAGAAGGAAATGGCAAACCACTCCAGCATCTTTGCCATGAAAACTCCAAAAGGGTCACAAAGAGTCAGGCTGAAATGACCCAACAACTGTCCTATAGCTAGCAGACTTTCACGCCCGGTTCCCTTAGATCCTATAATTCAGAGTCCGATCTGGCAAGGCAAAAACATTTTTTCCCTGCTACCTTTACCTCTATCTTGTCCAACTTAGCCCTTCTCTTCTTATTCCTGCTTAGTGCTTATCCTCCTCTTAATCCTTTATCTTAACAAAATCCTCTGCATCCCAGAACTTTGCCTTTCAAATGCTCTTCATCAGCTTGTGAAAACCTGGCTCTCTCTAAAAGATATTTCAATCCTGACCACCATCTGCAGTGCTAGCTGCTTGTTCTCTCATGCCGGGACACAGTGGCCCAGAAAGAGTTATTCGACCCCTTTCTCTGCTGCCATCACTCAGCAACATCTTTTTCTTTGAGGGTCTCCATCAGACTGTCAGGGTTCCTGTTGCAGTCATCTATCTACTGGCTTTCTTAAAAGGTCTGAGACCTGGCTCATGATCCTCTTCTTCACAGAAATAGCAGCTCTCTGAAAGAAAACACCATAAACTCTGCCCCTCATATTCATAGGGGTTTCAGCATTCACACTGAGGTCCCTTAAAACACTGTATTCATCAACCTCAACATCAGGTCCTACATTTTTCACTTTATATCACCCACCCACGTGGGCAGCCACACCTTAGATTTTACCATCCTGCAAAATAACTTCCAATCACAAGATAACTGAAAGAAAATCTTCTGATCATAACTTCTTGTCCTTCCACCTCACCCTCTGCCTCACTCCTAGTACTACCATAAGTCTTAGCAGGAGCTTCTGTATCTTCATTCTTTCTTGTTCCCAGAGTCCACCAGTACTTCTTTCCTCCCTCTGAAATCTTTTTTTATGCATCAACTAGGCACTATATTCTACTAAAGTGTCGTCCCCTTTCTCTTTCACCATTCATACTGTCAGCCCTCAGTCTTGGACCATTCACACCAACCCCTCCATTATGTATTAGAGGAAATCACAAAACTGTGCTGACTGTATTCATTACAAATTCACATTAGCTAACTTTAACTGGGGTCTTACTGGTATACTAAAATCTCTTCACTTTTTTCTGAATAATTCTCTATCATGATCTGCACACTCACTTTCAAACATTTTCAAGCCAACAAAGCCACCCCGCCACTTTTTTAGAAAAAGACCTCTTCTTTCATTTTACTGAAAAATCACAGTCATTCACTGTAAGTTCATCTCTCCTGCTCCACAATTCAAAACCTCTGAGGAAGAAGCAACCTTTCTTGTCAAGGTAATCACTCTATTTTGACCTTTGTCATCTATAAACCTGCTCTGATCTGTCTCTCCATTCTTAAAAAAAAAAAACCCTTTCATTCTCTCAAGTTAGCCTATACCCTCTGGAGTCTTCCTCCCTTTCACTGTTAAAATCCCTGAAAGTCCATGCTCTCAGCCTTTTCTTTCTTAACATCCAGTCACTTCCTATAACCTATTGTAACCTGGTTTCAACCCCTCACTCTACTCAAACTGTTTACCAAACATGTCTTAACAGCTAAATGGGATATAGCCTTTTTTCATTCCTCATTTTTTTTTAATCTCCCTTCTGGTTCTTCAACTTTTTTTGATGGACCTTCCCAAATATTCTTTACTGTATTATTATCTACCCCCACAGCAGGAGTAATCCCTAAGATTCTGTCCTGGCATCTTTTTCCCCACTCTTTCCCACCCACTAGCATGGGTTCAATTACCTCTATACAGATGACTCCCGAAGCTACATATCCTAATCCCTCTCTCCTGAATAGCAGTCTCACATCTTAAGCGGCCTATCGGACATCTTTACCAGAATGTTCTGTTCGCATTTCAAATGACATTTCCAAAACTGAACTCATTTATCATATTCCCCACTCAATCCAGCATGCCTCCAAATTTCCCGATTTCTATTGAGATCACCACCACCATCTTTCCTGTCATCAGGCTGTTACCTTGGAGTCTCTCCTTCTTCCTCATTCCCCATATTCAATCAGTTGCCAAATATTGTGCAATCTATCTCCATAACATTTCTCCTACCCCTGCCTTTCTCTTTATTCACTGGACCACCCTTCTATTTCAGGCCCTCATGTCCCCTCAACTGGGACTTCTGTAATGTTGTATTGCCCTCCCTGCCTCTCATCCTTCTTTCACACAGCTGCCCAAATAATTTTCCTAAGGTACAGGTCTGACTACATCATTCCCCTGCTCAAAATCCTTCAATGGTTCACTGTTGTCTCTAACATAAAAACTCTTCATTCCAGAACTTATGGCTCTCCACAATCTGGCTCCAACCTACCCTTCCCAGCATTATTTCACATAACTTCCTCCCTTCATGCATTCCACATTCCAGTCAAACTAGAATAGCCTTTTCCAAACCTTTTTCTAAATTCCTTCTCCTGCCTCCATGAATTTGCACAAGCTGTGCACTCCCCCTAGAATAAATGAAAAAGTATTTATTAAATGCTTACTGTGTCTCAAACACCAGGCACTACCCTCCTTACCCCAGTCTTTCAGAATTCTTATCTTCCTTCAAGGTTCAGCAGCGGGTGCCATTTCCTCCTAAAAGTCTTTTTCTGAGCCATCAGTTGTGAGTGCTTTCTTCTTTCTCAAATAATCTTGTGTTATATAGGTACATGTTGTATTCACCCAATAAAATGTAAATGAGAACAATTCTGTGTTATTTGTGCCTTTGTACCCCCAGTGCACAGCACATAGTAGGCACTTAATAAATGCTAGTTGAATTGAATTAAATTGACTGGGAAGAGGTGAAGAAGATGATTTGTGGGCATACTGCACTTAAGGAGGCATATTAGAAGAGCAGCACAATGACACTGAATGTTGAAGGCAGAAAGCAAGAGGAGGTGGCCAAGGAAATTTATTTGCCAATTTAAATTTTTTTCCCCTACAATGGCATCTGGACTCAGGAGAAAGAGAAAAAGGCTTCCTGTTCTTAGGATCAGTTTATTATTATTTGTAGTAGGCTTCACTTATGTTATGAGTTAAACTTTGAAAATGGCTGAGGATCCTAATCAACTTCAAAAAATTATGTACAATGACTAAGTTGTATTTATCTGTCATACTAAAAATAACCCACTTTTACTTCTACTACAAAAACAACATAACCCCTGATATATTACATATATACACACAGACATATGTATATACACATCCATCTATAACAGCCAGCTGGTTATCACAAAAATGTCTTTTCCCTCCCTCCTCCCCTGATGCTTGAAATTTCTTGCAAAAGAGGCAGTTTTAGGTTTTATGTGAAGAAAAACTTCTGGATATGGATAATTAGACTTTTCAAAAGTGGAATAAGCTGCCTGGGAGGTAGTGGGCTCCCCCTCATTAAAAGTCTTCCAGCAATGGCCAGATGGCCACACATCTCATATATATGTTGTAGGCAAAATATCTGAGTATGGGCTGGACTAGATAGCCTCTGAGATTCCTTCCAACTATTTCTGTGGTTCTGTGAAAATAAAATCCTCTCATTCCTTACAAAATGTTATCCATATACATCAAATCAACCAAACAAATCTACCTCCTAGATTTAGCAATTACAGAGAAATTTCCTCTAAAAAACCAATATTAGAATTTTAAAGTATTATAAAACCGTTAGTAGGCCCCTGAGATTGTCTAGTTCATTTTAAGACAATGAAAATGAATTTTTAAAAATACACTTTTCAGTATCTTCAAGTAGAGGCTGGGTTAGATCACTACTTTTCAAAAGTGTGTACTTCATAACCCATACTTTGCAACTTAATTTTCCGAGAAAAACTCTTAGTAATCTGTAGCTAATATTTGGTTCACACAATATGATACTAAACTTTTTCCTAAAAGTTTTATTCCCTCAGTCTCCTTGTCTGTAAAATGAGAGAGCTGTGCTAGATCTATGATTATTCACTCAGCCTGGATGACAGTTGAACATCAGCGTAAGGCCAAAAGGCTAGAATAGCACCACGTACAATACAATTACTCAAAATACCTTTTAGGGGTGGGGGTTGGTAGGCACGCATGGCATCACAAGACATGGCTAAAGAACTCCAGCCAGATAATTCTCTATTTCATCAAAAAGAATCGTTAAGAGGGCTGTAGGAGCCAAAAGCAATTCCGAAAATGTCAAACACCACCCACCCCTTAAGCATTTATAAAAAATGGGAGGGTACAAATGGCTAACGTCACGGTCCAATTTAGCAGAGCATTAAGCCCCTTATTTCAGACCTGCTGCGTCTGAAATGTGGTTAAGAGCCCATCCATCATGACAGTTTTCCTCCTCTCTCCAAAGACCTCCTTTGTCTTCTCGGTCCCTGCCTGCACACAGGCAGCTCTCACAGTCCTGGCAGCACTTGCGCTTGGAAACCGGCCACGGAACTGAAACCGGGCCCTAACTTTGATTCCTTACAAATACTGCAGATTTACAGAATCCTAGAATATCACAGCTGGAAATCGTAATTTAGAGATCATCCAATCCAACCTTTTCATTTTGAACAGTTATTACCCCAAGGAGCGCAATAACTTATCCAAGGTCACTCAGCTGGTACAGAGCAAACAGACCGTGGTACTCGAATTCAGGTCTTCTAACTCCAAGCACAGAGCTGTTTTCACTCTATCCCTTGACACCAAGTGAGAGGGCCTAGCTGTCGTTTTAAGCGCTCTGAGGGACTTTGGGCCAGGTGTTCACACCGACAGCGCAAAGGGCTGACGTCTGCTGCTCGGTCAGTGCTTCCTGCCCGAGCACACCTGCAAGCCCCAGACGTGATGAAGCGTCCGAGTCAAGGCAATCACTATTTATGAGGCGCCCACTGAATGCCAGGTAACTGTGCCAGGCACAGGGGTGGGGAGAGGAGAGGGAGACCCGGCCTTTGCCCCATTTACCTCCATGCAGCGGCAGGGGAGCCAAGACCTGGCCCCTGACCTCCACCTTAGGGGAGTCGAGGCCGTAGCGGCCGCGGTCGATGCGGAAGGTCCAGGGGCCGCCCCGGCCCGGCTCGTGCACGGTCACGTTGATGAGCGCCGTGTAGTACTCCTGGCTCGCGATGTCCGCCCCGGCCGCGCACAGGCACCAGTGCAGCACGTATAGGAGGACCAGGCCAGGCCGCCCGGCCCCCCTCCAGCGGCCGGCCATGCTCGGGTGGGGGGCTTGGGAAGGGGACGAGGCCCGGGCTCGGGCCAGGACCGAGGAACCGCGCGGGGAGGCCGCGCTGCGGGCAGGCCGGGGCGAGTCGGCGCGGCCCGCGGGGCCCGGAAGCGGCTCGGAGCCTCGGTCAGCGGGCCGGGCAGGGCAGGCGGCCGCTTCTCAGCGCGGCTGCTGCCGGCCCATTCCCCCGCCCCGTCGGTCAGGGTAGGGAGGGCGCGCCGGGGCGGGCCGCTTCCCCCGCAACACCCTGGGCACGGATCGGCGACAGGTCCATGAAGCCCAGGAGGGTGACGAATCGGCGGAGCCGCAGCGGCGGCGGCTCCTCCCTCCGCGCCCCGTCTCACTCAGTGCCTCTGCCCCTGGGCGGCGCGGCGGCGACTCGGACTGGTAGGGGCAGACAGCTCCGCTCCAGCCCCGGCCCCGCGACTCCGCGCCGCTCGGCTTCGTCTCGGACGCGAAGGCGGGACCGGCCTGGGAGGGGCGGGGAAGGGCGGGGTGCTTCTGGGGGCGGGGCGGCAGCGCCTCCCCTCTGGATTCTCCAGAGGAAAGCGAGGGCGGGGGTGAGTGAGGAGCTGGGACTGAGGCGCGGCCTGCGCAGCCTACCCCGCGACTAAAGCGCCTCGAGGACCGGCCTGACGCCGCTCCCGAAGGGAAGGCGGGAGAGCAGGTCTGAGGCGCGGGGTGGAGCTCAGCCTCTAGACGAGCTTCCCCGCCCCCCAGGCCCAACAGCTGGCACGCAGGCGCAGTGGCCTAGAACTGCACTTGCCTAAAGCCACGAGGAATTGTGTGAAAGGAGCGGTCCTTGGGGGCATCGGAGAAAAGCGCCCTAACCTAGAGCCAGCGTCTGCTGGTGCACAAAGCTGCACCGGGAACTGACGAGAGGAACGAGAAGGGGCGGAGAGATTAGGATATCAAGCGGGAGGCGAAGAGGATGAGCAGCTCTCACTATAAAGTAATATAATGGATATCGGGTTTGAATCCTGAGGACCAGTGTTCAAAGCCTTGTTCAGCTGCTTACTAGTTTTAACATTGGCCAAGTGGCTGAGTCTCTGGGTTTCAGTTTACCTATTTGTAAAATGAGGACATTAATATGGAAGTGATGGAGAGGGCGACTTCCAACTATAAATTCTGTGGTTCTCCCGGTGTGGAGTGGCCCCTCACTACCTACCAACTTCAGTTAGGGAAACGCTCCACTCTCAACACCAACCCGCCTCCCCCCGTTTGGATTGGATGGATTTCGTGCCTTGCACTCCACACAGGCATTCTGCCAACCCAGCTTGTCCCATTCAAGTAAAAAAAAAAAGTGTGTTCAATTCAACCAACCCAAGAATGGTTTTGAAACATTTGCTGTTACTGATAATGTTGACCGGAAATTAAACAAGTCAAGGATAGGGAAGACTGTTCAATTTCCCTCAAAAGACTTGGGGGGTTTTAATCCCATTGCTCAGTGGAATTCAAAATAACCTTGCTCTCAAATGAGCTAATGTAATCTTAGATGTCCTTAAAAGAGTCAGTCGGCAAAACTTTATGTTGCTAACACCTACCAGCCACTGTGTTAAAAGCTGGGGATACAAAAAAACCAAAATAAAACACCCCAGAAAACCTCTGCCTTCAAGTTCCCGTTTTAATGGAGGAGATATCCTATAAATAACTAGGTACATTCCAAATACGTTGATAGAGAGCAGATGGAATGCAATTTGAGAGGAGACTGTATTAGCAGCTAGGGACACCTGAAAAGGTCTGCAGAAGATGGGAGTTCAGCTGAGGCTTGAAGGAAGTCCAGGAAACTAGGAGTCAGGTAAGAAGGGAGGACGTTTCAGGCAATGAAGGACAGAAAGTGCAAAAGCTCCACAGAGTTGGGAGATAGAATGTTCTTTTCAGATAGCTGCAAATAGGCCATTGCAGCTGGATGATAGCAGTTGTGGAGGAAAGTTAAGCATAAGAAGATTGGAAAGGTTGAAAAAGACCATGTTAGGAGGGGTTTTAAATACCACAGAAGTTTAGATTTAATCATGGAAACAATAGGGGGCCACTGGAGCTCACTGAAGGGGAATGATGTTGGTGGTCACGTGTTGGGGGGTAATTGTCCTGCTATTCTCTGTTCTCATAAGACCCTTTCTACAGTACTGTGTTCCATTTTTGGTGCCATGTTTTAAGAGGAACCTTGACCAACTGGAGCCTCATATAGAGGACAGGAAGCAGGATTCACACTTCTATCCTGTTTCTTGTTTCTTTTTTCCCCAATTTTTAGTATTTTGTTTTTCCCCAGTTACATGTAAAAACAATTTTTAATATTCATTTTTAAAACTTTGAGTTCCAAATTCTCTCCCTTCCTCCCTCCTCCCCCCACCCCATTGAAGAAGGCAAGCAATTCTATGTTCCAGTCATTAAGGTTATGAAGAGTCTAGAAACTTGACATGTGAAGAAGAGCTGAAGGAACTAAGAAGCTTTAACTTGGAGGAAAAAAAGACAATTAGGATTTATATTTGAAGGAATACCATGTAGAAGAGAATAGATTCTGGGTGACTCGGGGGGCAATACCTGGACAAAAAGAGACAAACATAAAGGGATCTGTGTAAAGTGCTAAAAAAAAAATGGAGGGATGTGAAAGGCATAAAAGCAAAGTCTTGTACTTGGGTCCAAGAATTTTAGAAGGTAGAGCACTTTTGTGAATTATACTTCCTTTTCCTAGAAGGGGTGAAAGGACAGTTTAACTCAAGGAGCATTTATTAGGTCCTGCTACAAAGATGAAGAATAAAAGTCCCTGCTTTTAAGGAATTTAGGGTCTCCTGAGGGGATATTTTCTACACAAATAATTATAATAATACAAGGAGATATGTCTATGTAAATAATTATAGCAATACAAGGTAAAGTGTGACAGGGACAAAGGAGGCAGCCGAACAAAGTGTTTTAGGAAAATTTCAGCTAAAAAGTCAGGAAGTGCTTCAGTGAGGAGGAAAATTGGGTTGAGGTTAGATACTGAGGTCACACTAAGTATAGGATCAGAGTGCTTGTCCTCGCATCAGCACAAAAGCAAGCTCGCGCGTGCTCTCGCTCTCTCTTTTCTTTGAGGAATATATAAACAAGCCCCCTTCTCTAGGTTTAAGGGTAATAATGATAACCAGAAATTAAAAAAAATGTCAATTGAATTAACCAATGAGAATAACTTAAGATCTAATTTTGATCTTAGAACTGGAGGAGAAAATCAGGAAATGGAGTAGTGAGATGCCCAAGATCATAAAGGCAATTAGTGAATGGCAGAGCCAGGCTTCAAATCCAGGTCTAGTGACTCCCTAGATCAGCTGTTTCCATCATTGTAATCTATCTCTGTGCCATCTCCTTTGGCCACTTTGATTGGCAAGGTAACACTGGCTAGATCTGGGAAGCTTTTCAGCTCCTTTCTGGTATGCTATGTGTCTAAATTAGCTGCTGGCCATTGCAGTATGTTGAGGAGGCCCTGAATTAGGCCCACTGTCCAAGAGCGTGTGAGACCTCCAGAGCAGTATATCTGCTAGTTGGCTGTCATTGAAAGAATGAGGCCACTCATTTTGTCTGCATTATGTCCTAAGCTGTAAGTGACCTGGAAAGGCCCTCAGAAAGAGGTAGGTGGAGTCACATGAGGCGTTTAAAATTTTTTTTTTGAGTATTTGTTTTTAAAAGCTGTCTAGTGACACGAACTGAGTGCTTACAAGTGTAAGATGTCAGACATTCCAGTAGGGTATATATCTTAGGTTTCTGGGTGAGGCCAAGGTAAATTAGATAGCTGGCATAAGTATAAGGGAGGTTGATTAACTGGATGAACCTCCAGGAGAGTGAGCCTTTGCTTAGGACTTTTCAAAGTGCCTTTTCTTTTGGATTACGGGCATGCCCATTGGCACATAAGAAGAAAAACACAATTCCTGGTTAGGTCTGGGAGACTGAGGTTGCCCCAAATTAAAATGGCTGGTTTGAAGCTATCTTTTGACTCTTTATGGAGATTAATGATTAGAGCTGCCCTCAAAATGATTTGGTTGGTCAGGGGTCTGGGGAAGATGAGAGACTGCTATCATTCCTTTTTTGCTCTTTCCCTCTTATGGTGAATCTTGCTTCAGTTTAGGAGAAGCCTGTGTGTCTACATACCTTCTCACAACCAGGAGCTGTTAATGGATTGAAAACAGATTTTTCTGGCCCCAAAAATGTCAGCAACCAGGGCAATGGTGAGTATCCTGTAAGTGCACATACCAGAGGCACTGAATGGCCTTGCTTGGATGGCCTGAAAGGAGAGTTTATGTGTTCCTTAACCTCAACTTCATGTGTAAAGTAAGAAGGATTTTGATTTTCTAAGCATTACATTATGATGCTAGAATCTAGCTTTCTAGCCAGAGAAGGTAGCTTTCTTGGGCAGCATCACCAGCCTTTACTTCAAGAGGAACTCCAGGTTAGAGAGTTCCTGAACAGCATGCATGTTGGACAGAAAAGACTATTCAAGTGGTCCCTCCAGCTAGAGGATCAATAAAGGACCACAGTCACAACATGGGGAAGCAAGAGATCGAACCTTTCCCTCCCCTTGGTTTTCACTATTACTAAAGCAAGTTATTATATAACTATATAATTACTATAGTGAGTTATTATGTAACTATATAATTATATAACTATACTATTACTGTAGTGAGTTATTATATAGTTGTTACTATAGTTACATATAGTGTAGGGTAAAGGAGCCTGTCCAGCAGCCCTAAAATGTGTTTGCCTTCTGATGAAGTCTGAATCACATAGTAGCACTTTGAGTTTGGGAGACACTGGTGGTTTAAGATTCTGTAGAAGAGAGATTTCACCAGAATATCAAGGTATTACCCTGCTCACAGCCACATTTTAAATTACCTTCTATGGGGAATTTATGGACTACTTTGAGACCTTTACATGTTATGTGATCCTGTGAGTCCTATCATTTTCTGTGGGGTAATGGTTTCTTTCTGATGTGCATTTGTTACCCAGAGGGCATACACACACACATATGTATATATGTATATGTACATGTAAGTCAAAGGACCCTGTTACCCACGTTTCTAGACATAAGCTTTATTTTTTGGAGATTTTCCCGAATAAATTCTGGGTGGGGATCTAATGAGTGAAAAAATATATTCATCTTTTAGGGCTGTCTTCCCAGACAATACAGGTTTGTGTGATCTCACAGCTGGGGAGATGAAGGAAAAGTACTAGGTTGCAAATTCTGTAAGGAAGAATTACTTTCTAATAATTAGAGCTATTTAAAAATGGAATGGGTTCCTTTTAAGGTTCTGAGCGCAAGATTGCTAGAAGTTCTTAGGGAATAGATGATGTTATAGAAAGGATACCTGCATTGGATGAGAGTTTAGAGTAGATTGACCTCTAAATATCTTCCAACTCTGCTGTCCTTTGATTCTATAGAGACAGTTTCAGAAGGGAAAACT